TTTTATGAATTCATGCATTTCATCCACATACTGTCTATTTTGTTCATGATACTTCACACTACTGTGTTACTTGAAAATTTAACCCATTAAGCCCCAATATCCAAATACAAATTCCCCACACTAATACCCATACATTTCCTAACAGATTTAGTTGAGAGAATTTGATAAAAGATCAAAGCAGTTTCCCAAAGGTGATCATTTTCTTAATTCTCATAACCTTTGCTATTGATAATCAAATGATATTGTTGGGAGAAAATTGAGGTTGGTTGCCCTTGAGACTCACATGTAGGCTACCTTCAAACAGCGATGGACAAATTTTCCGACCAGTTGGTTATCTCAATATTAATTGTTTAAATTAAGGTAATATTATTATATCATTCCGTACCTTCAGATTGAGCTGTAGATGTTGCATTAGTTGATTTCTGGGTGCTAGCAGTGCTGCTTGGCTTAGTTGTTAAATTGGATTTCTGGAGAGAAGATGAATAGATTAGTGGCTCGAAGTACACGTAACATGTAACTACTTTGATAGATTTAACTAGGTTCTGCACAGTAAACAGTGTCTGAAATTCACAGTCATTCAGTCATCAGAATTGACCAGAATTTGACAGTGATGACCAAATTGTAAAAAATGGTTACCCACTGAACAGCCATAAATCAAGCTGCCACCCTCTTGAAAAAATGGTATAACATAATAACTGCTATATTTTTGAGAGATTGAGTTAAGACAGCCCAACAGAGCAAAATTTTGACCCTGGCAACTTCAGCCAGGTACTGTATGATTACAAAATTCAGGTCTCAAAATGTGGAAATAAGTGAAGTCAACATATTTTACAAAATAAAATAAACACATTAAAAGCTTACAAAGCACCATCTCCAATATGCTTGTCATTGCCAACAACTAGAGGACATCATTCATCAATATCAAAAATTTTTCAAATGCACTTTGAAACGGGAAGAACACAAAGTATTTTGAAAAACTTTGACATTCACATGTTGCACAGTTTCTAATAATTCTTGTAACATCGACCACCCCAGTATATTCAAGAAAAATGCCTTCCTACATTGTAGATATGATCTCAAAGGTGCAGGAATGAACAGGGAGGATCATGCAAATGTGATGTCATATCTGAATTGGTAGAATGAGATCATGGTTCAGATAATCTTGAATTACAAATGATAACGATGAACAATAATTTATTGTTCATCATTATCATTCGACCCTTGTTTAAAAATGCACAATGAAATAAACACGCACCTTTTCACCATCATTAGCATGTGGTACAGCTTCAGTGCTTAAGGAGACACTTGCTAAGTTAGAAGACATTTTCGGTTCCACTGAGTTACCTGCCAAATAAAGTAAATACATGATGATTTAGTGATAACAAATCAACAAAGTGGTCCTCATCAACTACATTCCTAAAGTTGGTTTTCAAGAAGAGGAAAAATCAGGAGAGAAGCTGCTCTACATGTACATGTAACTGCACATAGAGGATAGACGATACATGTAGAAGGAAAATTGCTCGCCTCACTGCACGCTATTTCATAAGGTCATCCATGGTGAATCAGAATTAGAAATCCCAAGCTATGTCAAAAGATGCAATTGTCAACAACAATCCTTCCACAGTGACAAGTTCATTGAATAAACACCAAGGACTAAAGCCTATAGGAACTCATTTTATTGCAGAACCATTAAAGAATGGAATTTGTTACCTAGCAACATTGTGGATATGGTAAAAAATTCATTTTTCCAGAAGGCACTTATATTAGGTTAGATTATGCAAATTAGATTAAAATAATCTGTTCACTGATCTTTTACTCATTTATTCAAATTCTATTTTCCTTTTTATTTTAATTTCAACATGTACTATATGGACATTATATTCATTAGGTTTTAATTTTTTATTTCATTCATTTGTTTATCATTATTATCATTATCATTATTATTATTATTATTACTATTATTATTATTATTATTATTATTTTACTTCCTCTCCTTTTTATTTTAACATTGACAGAATGCAAAGAAAGTACTGTCCGATAGCCTGGGACTAGTGGACTTTGCTATCAGGCTAGTGAATAATATTTTGTTCTTAACTTGCCCGACAGGCAAGTGACGTTTTTTGAGGAATTTAAATTGGAGAAGAACTGTGAAATCAATTCTGCTCATCACAATGTTTTTGGGGCTAGTTGAAATGACATTTGGGCTAGTATATTCTAGCTTCAGCTTGCCTGAATGGCAAGCTTTAAAAATGACTTTCTTTACACCCTGATTGATGTCTTGCCGCGATGGGTATCCCCCTTTGCAGGATCCCCCTCATATGTAGATATAGTGTGAATGGTACAAATACAATATAATGAAGTCCAGCGTATGTACAACTGTACCACTTTGTACATGCACTGTGACTACAATATTCCTCTGGGATTCAAACCTGGACAAGAGTGGGTTTGGTGGGATTTTATTATCACAGACTTTTTTATTACTGCTTCCCAAACCAACCATTATTCATCAGTCAATTCCAGCTGCTGCGCCCCCCCCCCCCCCCCCCCCCCCCCCACCCAACCACCCCAACTTTCTTTTTTGCTCTCGATAAAAAATAATATATATAAATATAAAAAACAGACAGAAAAAATACTAGTAATAATTTTAATAAAAAAAAAAAAAATAGAAAAAGGAGCCGGGGGGGATGAGAGGTAAAGGGCGATGGAGTGGGTTGCA